GACTTATCGTATGTTTGTAGTGTGTTATCAGTAAAAGCCTTGGCAGGCAGCCACGGAGTTGCTGCCAAGTGTTCATCTGTATTTGGCTGTGCTGAGCAGTTTTTCAGCCCTCGGCTGACTGGTTGGGGGGTGTGAGTCGGACGGGGGACAGAACACTCCGATCCGCAGTCTCCTGCTTCTCAGAGGAGCTGTAGCCGAGCGACAGGACTTACACCTCGTAACTACAACACCGGCTTATATTTTAGGGGTTCTCCTGTGGGGCACTGAATACCTACCAGGAAGATTTCAATAGCCCCCAAGATGTACATTGAAGCAGCAAAGGTAGTGCCGAGATAGAAGCAGAGTCCTACAGCTCCTCCAAACTCAGGGCCCAGGGCTCGTGAAATCATGAAGTATGACCCTCCAGCTGCAGAGAGGCGACAAAGAAGCTCTGTGGCCAACAGACAGAAGCTGCAGAGGGGAAATCTTATTATCCCTGCTTTCTTACTCATTCCAACCCCCCTCACCTTTTTAGAAAGACCTGCCTGTGGCTTTCAAAAACAAACTCATGTACAGCAAAAACCAACAGCATAAACAAAATCAGCCCCCAAAGGACAAATAACCCTGGGGGACCCTGGTGGCGCAGTATTGTAGGCTAACTCCGCTCACAGTCTACAGTTCGATCCTGACCTGCTCAAGGCTGACTTAGCCTTCCATCCCTCCGAGGTCGGTTAAAATGAGGAGCCAGATATTTGGAGGCAATATGCTGACACAGTAAACCAGGCATGTCAAACTCGCGACGTCACGTGACGTCGCGCGACGTATCGGAGCTTTTTCTCCATTGCCGGCAATGGGGTGGGCGCGGTTTTGGGATGACGCGTCCAGCTCGCGGGCCGGCAGTTTGACACCCCTGCAGTAAACCATTCAGAGAATGCTGTAAAGCAGAGGTCCCCAACCTTTTGGGCACCAGGGACCGGTTCCACGGAGAGAGGTTTATCCGTGGACAGGAGGGTGCGTGGTTTTGTGTGCTACCTGCATCCCATGGATGGGGCTTTGCTTGTTTGTGCGGACCGGTTGCTGCCATGCCGTGGCCCGGTACTGGTCCATGGACTGGGGGTTGGGGACCCCTGCTATAAAGCACCACGGGGTGGTGTTTAAGTCTAAGTGCTATTGCTATAACCATGGTTAGAGAAAGAATTCCATGCTTTGTGGTCCACCGGTGAAAGGGGGGACATTCTTCATATCAACTAATCAGATTTCTGAGAGGGGAGGACATCTGAACATGATCGGATTTGAAGGCTGGTACTGTACATGTGGGAGATGGTGATTTTTAAAAAGTTAGTACTTACCAGGCACAACTCCATTGGTGGCAATGGCGCTCATGGAGATGGCTGTTAGCAATGTCTAAGGAGGAGGTGAGAAATAAACAGCATTAAGTATTTAGGACATAAATTTATTTATTTATTTATTTATTTTATTTGATTTATATCCCGCCCTTCTCCCAACGGGACTCAGGGCGGCTCACAACATATTAAAAACATAAACGCATTTACAGCCCCTCCAAATAAAACCAATTAAAACCAAATATTTGAAGTTGTGCTATTTAAAAATACAGGCAGATGCACGTTCTTAGCTTGTAATGTGTTAAAAGTCACTAACAGAGCTTACAACGTTTGGCTATTATTTTGACAAACCTAGATGTGCTTTCCCCCCCCTCCCCATTCAGTTTTATGTTTTGATAATAATTCTCCCTTTAGTTTTCTTTATCATTATGGGTAATGAGGACAAAATGCCATGGTGGAGGTGAGCAAAATGGTTTTAGTCAGGTGGGAAGACGGACGTTTTCAAAAATGCAGGAACAGGTTCACCAAAGAATAGATATGGAAATAAAGATCGCCAATGATCTCAACACAATTGACTACATCTACAAAGAGTATTATTTTTGTACTGGCATTTCAGCTATGGGATACTAAAATGAGTGAGTGTAATTTCTCCTTCCTCAACATCAGAAGTTTCCTCCTTCTCCCCCCCCCCCCGCCCTCCCAGCCTTCCTCTATACCAGTGGTGGCGAACCTATGGCACAGGTGCCAGAGGCAGCACTCGGAGCGCTCTGTGGGCACACATGCCGTTGCCCCAGCCTTGCCTCCCCCCGCGACCCCC